ATTTGTATACCGCCCTACTCCCGAAGGACTCAGGGCAGTGAACAGCCATAAAATAAAACATATAAATACAAAATTTAAAAAGAGATAAAACAAATTAAATAAATTTGGCTGAACCATTTTAAAACCCCAATTTAAAACCAAATTTAAAATTCCCATTTAAAAAGAGGAAAAGTTTAGGTCAGGCCAGCTTGATGGAATAGGAACGTCTTAAGCGCACGGCGGAAGGTACGCAGATCCGGAATCCTCCGTATCTCGGGGGGGAGCTCGTTCCAGATTGTAGGTGCCCCCACAGAGAAGGGTCTCCCCCTGGGGGCCGCCAGTCGACATTGTTTGGCCGACGGCACCCGGAGGAGCCCCTCTCTATGAGAGCGTACTGGTCGGTGGGAGGCTATTGGTGGTAGCAGGCGGTCCTGCAAATAGCCAGGTCCTAAGCCATGGAGCGCTCTGAAGGTGATAACCAAACCTTGAAGCGCACTCGGAAGACCACCGGGAGCCAGTGCAGCTCGCGCAGGAGAGGCGTTACATGGGAGCGCCACATCGCTCCCATCACCACCCGCGCAGCCGCACTCTGCGCCAGTTGGAGCCTCCGAGTGCTCCTCAAGGGGAGCTCCATGTAGAGAGCATTACAAAGTCCAGACGGGAGGTGACGAGGGCATGAGTGACCGTGCGTAACGAGTCCCGATCCAGAAAGGGATGCAACTGGCGGATCAGGCGGACCTGATGAAAAATCCTCCCGGTCACGGCCGTCAAGTGCTCTTCTAAAGACAGCCGTGAATCCAGGAGGACACCCAAGTTGAGAGCCCTTTCCATGGGGGCCAATGCTTCGCCCCAATAGTCAGCGATGGCACCAGCTGACTATATCGGGACGTCGGAAACCACAGCCACTCGGTCTTGGATGGGTTGAGCCTGAGCCTGTTTCTCCCCATCCAGATCCATACGGCCTCCAGGCACCGGGACATCACTTCAAGGGCATCGTTGGGTGGTCTGGGGTGGAGATGTACAGCTGGGTGTCGTCAGCATACTGATGGTACTTCACTCCGAAACCACGGATGATCTCGCCCAGCGGCTTCACATAAATGTTGAACAAAAGGGGCGAGAGGACCGATCCTTGTGGCACCCCACATATAAGGGGCCTCGGGGTCGACCTCTGCCCCCCTGTCAACACAGACTGTGACCGGTCAGAGAGAAAGGAGGAGAACCACCGTAATACGGTGCCTCCCACCCCCAACTCTTCCAACCGGTGCAGCATGATACCATGGTCGATGGTATCAAAAGCCGCTGAGAGATCTAATAGGACCAGGACAGAGGAACAACCTCTGTCCCGAGCCCTCCAGAGATCATCAACCAATGCGACCAATGCTGTTTCCGTGCTGTACCCAGGCCTGAAACCCGACTGGAACGGATCTAGATACATCGTTTCATCCAGGTACTGGGGAAACTGTCGTGCCACCACACTCTCAACAATCTTCGCCACAAAGCGATGGTTGGAGACTGGACGATAATTAGCCAATATTGCCGGGTCCAGGGAAGGCTTCTTGAGGAGAGGTCTCACCACCGCCTCTTTCAAGGCGGTGGGAAAGACACCTTCGCCCAATGAAGCATTTATAATCCCCTGGAGCCAGCCTCGTGTCACCTCCCGGGAAGCCAGCACTAACCAGGAGGGGCACTGGTCCAACAAACATGTGGTTGCATTCAGTCTACCCAGAATCCTGTCCACGTCTTCAGGGGTCACAGAATCAAACTCATCCCAGATAACATTCTCAGGACCTGTCTTCGTCATCCCCACTGGATCTACCCAGTCGGAGTCCAGATCTTCCCGAATCTGAGTGATTTTGTCATACAGATGCTGAACAAAATCCTCGGCTCTTCCCTCCAAGGGGTCCTCCCTCGCTTCCTGGTGGAGCAGGGAGTGGGTCACCCTAAACAGGGCAGCCGGGCGGTTATCTGATGATGCAATAAGAGCAGCAAGATAAGTGCATTTCGCTGCTTTTATCGCCACTAGGTAATTCTTAATATGAGATCTTACCAGTGTCCGGTCAGATTCAGTATGACTGGCCCTCCAACTACTCTCTAGGCGTCTTTTCCGGTGCTTCATCTCCCTCAGCTCCTCAGTAAACCAAGGAGCCAGGTGAGATCGGCGCCGGGTCAGAGGCCGCAAAGGCACGACTCGATCCAGAGCTCCAGCGGCTGCCCTATCCCAGGCGGCCACTAGGTCTCCAGTTGAGGCATGAGCCAGGACCTCAGGGATTGGCCCAAGCTCCATCTGGAACCTATCAGGTTCCATCAGGCGCCTGGGGCGGTACCATCTTATCGGTTCTGCCTCCCTGCGGTGGGGTACAGCGGTTCAAAGGTCAAGGTGAAGGAGAGAGTGATCCGACCATGACAAGGGCTCGATGACTATGTCCTCTATCTCAAGATCACTCAGCCACTGTCCAGAGACAAAAATGAAGTCCAGTGTGTTTCCCCCCATGTGCGTAGGGCCATGAATTAGCTGGGTCAGATCCATAGCCGTCATGGAAGCCATGAACTCCCGAGCCACCTCAGACGTCTCACCCACAGACGGCAGGTTGAAATCCCCCATGACCATAAGTCTGGGGGTATCAACCGCCACCGCGGCGATAACGTTGAGTAGCTCGGGCAGGGCTGCTGCCACGTGGCAGGGAGCCAGGTACGTGATCAGCAAACCCATCTGAACCCCATGACCCCATTTCACAAGGAGGGTCTCACAACCAGCCATCTGAGGAACAGTGGCCTCCCTTGGCCTAAAACCTTCTCTAATAATAACCGCTACTCCCCCTCCCCTCCCCTGTGACCTCGGCTGATGGAATGCGTGGAAGCCTGGTGGGCACATTTCTACCAGAGGGACCCCTCCCTCCAGGCCCAACCAGTTCTCCGTAATACCCGCCAGGTCCGCTCCCCCCTCCTGAACAAGATCACAAATGAGGGGGGCTTTATTTACTACAGACCTGGCATTGCACAACATCAGCCGAAGGCCCGGGCCCTGAGGGTCTGTGCAACCTGGAGAACGAGTGGAGCCTTGGGGGCCGGACCACGCTACTGCTTGAAGACAGCGGATGCGCACTCCCTTAACATGATATGGCCCCCTGCTCCCGCCATATCTACCCCTCCCCCTCACAGTACCGATGGTGAAAACACGATCTGGACAAGCTCGACCCCCCCATTTCCTCCGGAACTCCCACCCCCCCGCCACGCATAGTGGCCAGGCCCGACCTTCCCCTTGGTGGGTTATCCCCCGAACCCACAACCCTAGTTCCAATTTTACCTTCCCCCCCGGGACCCCTTAAAAATTTATCCAGAAATTTACATAAAAAACCCCTCAACCCCCTCTTCGCCGCATGCCACCTCTCTGGGTTCCAAGACCCGTCATTGAGGTAGGTCCTCGATAACGTGGAGGGCCAGGCTTGCGAGAGGGGGGAGTCTCGCAATGCAAGAAGCTGAGCCCTTAAGTACATCTAAGCTCTGAGGTAATGAAGGTAAATCTTAGAAGGGCTGACTTGCTGTTTAGTTTTTCTGCTGCGATCTTAACCTGGGTGAAATGACATTCTCTTTGAGGGTGTGGGAGTCTTTAAGTTGAGATTTTTCCTGGGCTCCTGGCTATTGATCATCAATCAGAATAGAGCTGGAAAGAACCTTGGAGGCCTTTCTTTGAAGTCTGGCAACTGATATTGTGATAATGTTATTCAGCATAAAAAATAACACACTGTAACAGCTTTAATAGTTCAATAGAGCTTGACATTTCTTGATTATAATATTCAGGAAAATTATCACATACAAATCATGGATTCATGTGTTTTACTATGTATTTTCATACATACACTTTTTGCTTTTAAACTCTCTTTTTATTCATTAGCTGTTGTTATTTTGTTTATGAAATGCCTGTTGATGGACAAGGAAGATTTGGTAAATTTCAAAATTGCTAGAAGAATTAAATAGACAATGAATAATTTCCATGCCCCAAGTATAAGACTGTTAAGGTAATTGGGAAGTGTTGAAGTGTAAATCAGCTTTGATACTCCCCCCTGGGGTAATTGCACTTGATTAGAGATGGATGGATCTTGTTTTTCCATGCTGTATACTTTAAAGAAAGAAAACCCGAAATATATTCTAAGAAACATTTTATTATAAAGAAATAAAACAAACTAGCTAACTACATTTTACCAGACAAAGGAAGTTTGTCAGGAAGTTTCTTCCTTAAACTTGGACATGCGCAGTAGCTCAGAAATCACAAGGCAGTCTTATCTCTGTTGCTACAGAGACATGATAAAGTTCTCGGGCAGGCTACCATAAGTCTTGGGATGGAAGCTCAGCTGGCAAACACATAACACAGTGACAGGAAGGTCTGAGATTCTATTTTCCCACTTATTAGAAGTGAAATTTAACAACATCGATTTTGAAGAAAACCTCTCAATCTGTTCAAATACAGAAGTTGAGATTCTATTCAAGTGTTTTCCTGAGTTAGATCTGTAATTTATATGGATACTTAGAGATATCACCTCTCACTGCCTGATGTCTCGATGTTTGTAATCATAGTTATTTCTACTGGAAGATCAGGCCAATATTTTTGCTACAAAATTCATAAAGTTATGTACTACTGCAATTTTAGTTAGAAGACAATTCTTTAAATGAAAGACCTTGATCACATCTGTGTATATTGCTCCCATCACACAATTAATATGTGCATATACACCCTTTTTTCCCTCACTTCACAGTTCTCCTTTAAACTTAGAAATTGTTGTCAACGGTTTTCATAAGATTTATTTTTCTATCTTTTTTTCCCTGTTTTGGTCTATGAATTTGAAACAAATAAATAGATTTTGATGCAACATGAGAAAAAGTTTCAAATCTTATATATTAAGTTTAACATGTTTCACAATTTTGTTTATGATTAAAACAAAACAAAATTAATGCAGTGTCTTAACCACAGAAACATGTCTAAGGTTTCAGCTTAGAGAAGTTATACCACAATGAAGTGGGAAAAATCAATTTTGTTTCTTTATCAGTTGTTCCTTCCTGTTTAAATCAGGCCTCAGAACAATAATGTAGCATTTGGGGAAAAAGATGCAGCCCAGTAATCCAGCTGCAGAAGCCAAAATGGAGAAGATCTCCACAGCCACCATGTATTTTCCCCTGGTGCTCAGATAGGTGGGAATGAATAATATCCAGACACTGCAAAAGACTAACATGCTGAAGGTGATAAACTTAGCCTCGTTAAAACTATCAGGTAGCTTCCTAGCAAGGAAGGCCACTATAAAGCTAATAGCAGCCAGGAAACCCAGGAAACCAAGGACTAGGTAAAACATTGTGGTTGAACCTTCATTGCATTCCAGGACAATTTCTTCAGGCATGGAATCCATGTCAGAATCTGGGAATGGGGGTGAAATAGCCACCCAGACTATACAAATAGTGATCTGCATCAGGGAGCAAGATAGGACAATAGAGAGAGCAAGGTTTTTCCCCACCCATCTCCTCATTTTGGAGCCTGGCTTGATGGCCATGAAGGCAAGAACAACAATGGTTGTTTTCCCTAATATACAAGAAATGGCTACAGAGAAGATGATGCCAAAAGAAGTTTGTTGTGTGAGACATTTCAGTTGGTTGGGCTGCCCAGGGAACAGCAGAGTGCAGAGAAAAGAGAGCAGAAGTACTATGAGAAGAACAAAAGTGAAGTTCCTATTGTTGGCTTTTACTATAGGAGTGTCCCAGTGACTCATAAAGATCTTAAGCATGAAAGCTGAAGTGATGGAAAAAAATAAAGCAACAGTTGTCAGTATGAGACCAAGTGGTTCTTTGTAAGACAAAAATACGATGCGTTTGGGAATGCAAAGATTGTGAGCTTCATTTGGATATTGGCCTTCTGAGCATTGAAAACAGTCATCCGCATCTGAAAAATAAATATTTACAATGATATATATATTTCGAATGGCCATTTTTGGCCGTAGGGGTGGTAAAAGTTGTTTGCTGAATGGATAAATATGATATAAACCAGGGCTGTCAAACTCAATTTTATTGAGGGTTGCATCAGGGCTGTGGTTGACCTCAGGGGACTGGGTGGGCACAGCCAACTGGGTGGATGTGGCCAGCTTGATGCTACTCCCAAAACTGCTGGCATGCTTCCACCAGGCCAACACCCACCCTGGCCCAAACTTTCCTCTTCACACTGGATAAACCGGGCCAAAGCTATGTTGGCTTGATCTTTCCTCTTCGCACTGCGTAGACTGGACCAAAGCTATGTTGGCCTGATATTTCCTCCTCACACCAGGTAAACCAGGCTGAAGCTACACTGGCCTGATCTTTCATTGCACTGGATAAACTGGGCTGAAGCTACACTGGCCCGATCTTTCCTCTTTGCATTGGGTAGACCAGAACCGCCCCAGAGCTGGATCCAACCACATTGCTGGCCACATCTGGCCCGCGGGCCTTGAGTTTGACACCCCGGTCTAGGACTGCATAATTCAAATGCAGTTCAAATGTAGAGTGAAGAATTTAGATGTATAGCCTAGAATTTTATTGGGAAGAAAAAATGGAGTGAGGGGAAAAATGGGAAAGAAAGGTTTCCCATCTTCTTATCTCCTCTGTAATGAATTCATTGTGGTCCATCTACCAAAATTCAATAATGGTGGTAGTAGGAATGGAGTTAGAAGTTTTTGACACATGATTGCTGCTTGTTGTTTTCCTCAGACAAAGGTTTTCCTTTGCTATTAGTAAAATATTAAAATAAGGTATGCATTCAGATAATTAATCAATCAATATTTATTTATATTTCACATTTCTGAACTGCCCATCTCCCTCAAAGAAGCGCATGAAATAGCCTTAGGTCCTGAAATATCCTTATCCAGAGAAATATCCTGTTTAACTGTAACTGCAGGGATGAAATGCTACCGGTTTGCACCGGTTCGCGTGAACCAGTAGTGATAAAAACTACCAGTTCAGGTAAACCAGTAGTAAAAAAACCCCAAAAAACTACCAGTTTGGTTGAAGCGGTAGTTAAAAAGCTACCGGTTCAGGTAGTTTTAAATTTCTGGGCATTTATATCTCAGAGGACTTCTCATGGACTATGAATGCTAACATGCTTATGAAGAAGGCACAGAAGAGGCTGTACTTCCTGAGAATGCTCAGGAAGATAAATCTAACTCAACACCTACTTCTTTCCTACTATTGCAGCACCATTGAGAGTGTCCTGACATACAGCATTCTTGCATGATATGGGAACAGCTCTGTAGCGGACAAAGAACTCTACAGAGAATCATTAAAACTGCCCAGAATATCATCAGACTCCAGCTACCAGCCCTGGACAACATCTTCGAATCTCGCTGTTTGAGAAAGTTGCATAATATTCTCAGAGACTTTTCCCATGCTGCTTACAATCTTTTTGGACTGTTGCCTTCTGGCAGAAAATACAGAACAATTAGAACTCAGACCACAGGTTTTCTGAATAGTTTTTATCCCAGAGCTATAATTGCATTCAACAATGAACTAAAGGCCAAAAAAAAAAAAACTTTTGGGACTCCGCAGAGAGTTCTACCCACCCCTGCCGGCTCTATCTCCGTTTCCTCATGGAAACGGAGTTTTTTCGAGCCGCCATTCCGTTGTGAAGGCGGCTCTAACAGGCGATGGAAGCTGACGATCCCAAAGGAACGTCTGGCAGCGACAAACAGCAACCCGGAAGCCCCCAACCCGGAAGGGGTTGTAGTGGGTAGGAGTGTGTTTGGGGATTGTTATGTTATATGTGTTGGACCTGGTCTTTGGATGTTAAATGAATTTCGTTGTATGGGTATACTGTGTAGACACGTACAATGACAATAAAGTTATTTATTCTTGAACCAGTAGTTAAAAATAACTACCGGTTCGGACAAACCGGTATTTCCGATGATCAGCTGTGCCATGCAGTTTTTATTCACTAGAAAGCAGGAAATCCTGCTTTCTAGTGAAGCTAAATCGCGTGGCACAGCTGTTTCCCCCCTCGCTGTTCTACTTACCTAGTGAAGTCTTCTTTTTCCACACGAAGTGCATGTTTGGGGTGCATGCACAGCATGCTTTTGGCACACGCTGTGCATACGCGGGCAGAGAACCGGTGGTGATCCGCAGAGGATTTCACCACTGTGTAACCCCAATTAGTTCACTGCTTTTTACGAATAACTTTCCTTGACGAAAATAGCTGGGGATAAGACTTGTTTAAACTAGATCTTTTCATTTCAGCCTACTGGTCCCATAGCTCTTCCATGTAATCAAATCCTTTTTTCCCCCCATTCCTCTTGCTCAGTCAGAGGCAGATGTCACAAGTCTGATATAATTTTGCTACTGAAATTTTTTATTCCATTCTGCAGGATTGTATGTACATGGCACTATAAGCTATCCTCACGGGCTGCCCCAAAGAAGAGGGAGTCAAGCTATTCTCCAAAGCACCTGAGGGCAGGACAAGAAGCAATGGCTGGAAACTAATCAAGGAGAGAAGCAACTTAGAACTAAGGAGAAATTTCCTGCCAGTTAGAACAATTAATCAGTGGAACAACTTGCCTCCAGAAGTTGTAAATGCTCCAACACTGGAAGTTTTTAAGAAGATGTTGGATAACCATCTGTCTGAAGTGATGTAGGGTTTCCTGCCTAAGCAGGGGGTTGGACTAGAAGACCTCCAAGGTCCCTACCAACTCTGTTATTCTCTTCTCTTCTCTTCTCTTCTCTTCTCTTCTCTTCTCTTCTCTTCTCTTCTCTTCTCTTCTCTTCTCTTCCATTATGTAGAAAATTTAGCATGGATCTCCATTTTGTTCCAGATTGGGCAGTTGCTTCATTTCATGTAGCAAAGGAAGTTTATAAACAAAACCATCCAGTGGGGATGCTACATATTCATTGCTGTATCCTTTGGAAGACATAATCATGATTTTCCATTGCACCCTGAGTCCTATGTTGGTACAGTTCAAAAAACCCTTTTATCAGTAATCAATAACTGTCTCAAAGTATCAATTGAGATTCCATGAAATATATCAGGTATGTTCTGTATAGTATTATTATTACCCTTACCTGTCTTGTTAGAAATTTCCCCAGTTGGACACCGAAGGCAATCATAACAGCAAAATGGCTTTCCTTCTTTTTTTATCTTGCTATACCCTGAAAAGCAATGGTAGTTGCATACAGAAAAGGGCTGTGCCTGTTGATAATTAATAATGGGATATTTGTAAATTTGTCCTTAATAGTCAGAATTATTACAGTTGAAGATTTTGTATTCCCCTGGCTCCGATATTCATATTGAATATTTCTATCTGGATATAATATTGGCATATGTAGGCCTGATTAGGTTAGATTGCAGGGGTGATAAAGAAATATAATTTTATGTTGTTTTATTCTATTTTACATGTTTAGGTATTAAATTATTGTATTTTATCCTATAATTATTGTATTTTACCTTACTTTAATTTAAATTGTTGGTTTAGAATTTTATTGGTAATATGTGTTTGAACCTGTATGTTGATATGGCCTATAGGCTAATATACCATATTTTTTTGGACTATAAGACACACTCCCCCCCTCAAAAGTAGGTGGAAATGTCTATGCAACTTATAGAGCAAATGTTGTTGAAGCCCCACCCACCTGCCGGGCCCCACGCTTCAGCCTCTGCATCCCAGCAATTTGCCTCTTTGCAGCAAACAGCAAACAGCCTGGTAAGCTTCAGCATACTCTGATTTAGCATGAGCAGCTGATTGGCGGTTGAATTGGCCTCCCAGAATACCAATGATCAGCTGTTCCAGGCTGCGCGGATTGCAGTTGCCTATTGCCATTTCTGTGCACCCCATTTTCAGCCCCCACATGTCCCATTTTCTGCATATCCCATTCAGTGGCAATAAGTGGTGTAATCCCCGCAGCCTGGAACAGCTGATTGTTGGTATTCCAGGAGGCTGATCCAGCCACTAATCAGCTGTTCATGTTAAACCAGGCTGTGCTGAAGCTGACCAGGCTGTTTTTCTTGTTTTCCTCCCCAAAAGCTAAGTGCGTCTTATAGTCCAGAATGTCTTAAAGTCTGAAAAATACAGTATATATAGACTGAAAATTGATTGTCAGGTCAATCTATTTGTAAGATTCCTAATCCAAGATTGACATTCATTTGGCACCATGAAACTTGTAGAGACCCTTATGATTTTGGACAAATATTCAAAAAGTTGCTGATTACACCAGGATGAAGAAACCAAGCTGGAGAATAGCCAGATTGTGAGAAGTAAAGCACTTAGTCTTCCTAGACGTAGGAAGTTTAGGATATTTCAGTTGGTGCAGAATCTGGCTTGATTGGTTGGTGAAATCAGTTTCTGGATGGGACATTAAACAAAGATTTTGCTTTTATACATATTTGAAATATTTAATTAGCAATAGAAGTAGCAATAGCATTTAGATTTATATACTGCCCCAAGATGCTTTACAGCACTCTCTGGGTGGGTTACAATGTCAGAATTATTTGAATCTTGTCCCCAACAATCTGAGTTCTCATTTCACTGACCTCAGAAGGATGGAAGGCTGAATGAACTTGAGCCCTGTCGGGATCAAACAATATTGAACTCAACCACTGCACCACCAGGGCTCATCATCATCAATTAGGTAAAGGTAAAGGTTCCCCTCACACATATGTGCTAGTCATTCCTGACTCTAGGGGGTGGTGCTCATCTTCGTTTCAAAGCTGAACAGCCAGCACTGTCTGAAGACGTCTCCATGGTCATGTGGCCAGCATGACTAAATACCAAAGGTGCACGGAACTCTGTTAACTTCCCACCAAAGGTGGTCCCTATTTTTCTACTTGCATTTTTTATGTGCTTTTGAGCTGCTAGGTTGGCAGAAGCTGGGACAAGTAACGGGAGTTCACCCTGTTACGCAGCATGGCACTAGGGATTCAAACCGCCGAACTGCCGACCTTTCAATCAAGCGTCTTAGCCACTGAGCCACCACAGCCTTTATATCATCGATTACTTAAGCACATATACCAAATATTCTCATGAATCTATTTAAATAATGGAATGCTGATTTCACCAATTTTGAAATTAGCATAGAACTTACTTGGTTAAACATGGTGGGCCAGATAATACTCTCTGCAGAAATCTTGAGCAGCTTGTTTGGGGGACCAAATGGATCTACCTTCCCAATTTTGACTCGAAAGAAGGATTGGTTGGGCAAAATGACCCAGTTGATCACATCGAAGCCAATTGCTAGCTGTCCCTTTTGATCAAAGAATATCCTTTCTCCAGCACTGTTATTAAATGAAACAGTTCTCAGGTGCTTATGAAGCTAGAGAAGTAATGGAAAAAAGTAATAAAAAAATGTGATCATGAACAACTAAGGATTTATATTTTTTTGGCAACTATGGATAAATAGTACATCAGAATCCCCATGTATGTTAATAGGCTGGAAGGAAAGAAGGAAGGAAGGCATATACTGTATTCTTGTCCCTTCCTCCCCATCTTTAGTTATAACATGTGTCTTATTGTAATTTTTAATGTGATTTTATATATTTATACGTTTAATTTTAATGTTGTAAGCTGCCTGTCCAGAGTAGCCTTGTGTGATGGGCTGAAAACAAACTTCATAAGTAAGTATAAAAGGAAGGAAGGGAGGGAGGGAGGAAGGAAGGAAGGAAGGTTTCTATGGAGATTCTCAGTTATCCAGGTCATGGTTTTCTTTTTTTCTTCTTCTTTCTGCATTTCCTTCAAATTTAAGGAAATAAATCCTTTATTGTTTATCTCCCATATCAGTGGGGGTCACCCTTAAGACATACAAAAATACTAGCAAAAGATCCTATTGTTGTCTCCTGCTGGCGGCCAGCAGAACTGGCAGCAGAGTCAGACAGTGAGGCAGAACTTGGGCCAGTCCTGGGGGCTGGGGAAAGCTTGGATGAGGGCTCTGCATCACAGGCAAAAAGGGAGGTAGATGGCAGTGAGGCAGAGGAACAGCTGGAACCCGTTCCCAGTGCACACATACACAGAGCTGCAAGAAAACAAGAATGACTCAGAAAGCAGGATTGACTCAGGAGTAAAGCCACACCTTGGAGATGATTGGGCCCTCCCATAAGAAATAAAAGAGAAATAAACAGGGAGTGGGCTTTTGCAGTAAACAACTCATTCGTTCCATGACTCTGAGAGACTCTGTGCCAGGTTTTGCTTTCTACTGTGGTTGGAAACAAATTATGTGGCAGCTTGCCAAACGAGATAAGATGTGTTGAGAAATATTCCTTTAAAAAACTGTTTGGACAAACCTTGCTGACTGAATGAACGTAGTTCACAGTCATGTAAATAAAAGAGGTTTTGCCGGAATCAGTTCCTGCCTCCTGCTTGTTAATGTTCTGCCCCAGCTCCGGATTCCTGAGGATATTGACACATACCAACGGTCCTTATCAAGTTTATTAAGTAGCAAGAATAAACCAAAGTCCGGCAAAGGTTGGCAACCAGCCCAGAAAACAAGATATGATAAGACTTTTCCAAAAATGCTCAGATGATAATTACAAGTTGTTTCCAGCAAGAAACTTACTAATGATGTGTGACTTAAATAGGCTAAGGGAGTGGCCAATTATCCTCAAGCCTTACTCTCGAGGAGACCTCCTCCTCCTGAGTAGCCACTCCTGCCTTTTGGCAGCCCTGCGTGCTCAAGCATTGAGGAGAGGCTCCTCCACTTCGCTCTCCCCACTTGAAGGAGCCTCTGGAGGTTCTGAAGGACCTGGCTGAGTCTTTGCCTCTGGCACCACATCCTGTTCAGCCTCCGCGCGAGCGCTGGCTGCACTGGCTGCTGGCATGATACCATACCAGCCTCCTCCTCATCGGAATCAGCCACGATCCGTGCAGGCTGCTGGTGGGCCACAACAGTTAAGGGAGCCTAGGTCAGAACATCTATCTATTGTATTAATCATTCCTACTTAATGTATAAAGGGCATTCAACCTCTTACTCTTACCTGCCACGCATATCGATTCCACCTCTTAAGTTCTGAACCATTTCCTTTTGTCTTGAGCTGGTATTTTGATGAAAGCAGAGCTTGCAAAGCATGTGCCACAGCATGGACTGCATTATAGACACTGTAACTCTGACCAGTCATCCTGGTGTCAAACACTGACTGAGGAAGGGTCTCCAGCTGCTCCTCACCTGTGCATTCATTCACAGCATCCTCCTCTAACATGGCTTTGGAGAAAGAACATTGAAATGCACTTTCCCAAAATATCCTGATCAAACTGTCTTCCTCTGCAGAAGTAAATTTTCTCATCTGAAGAAACCTCTGGAAACCCAAGACATCCTTTGAGGAAACTTCAAAAGACAGGGACCCATGAATGAAATCCATAGTTCGGTATCTTTGAAAAGGGAGTGATGAGAACTCCATCTGGGCTGGCATTATCCAAATTTTGTCTTTTTTCTTCACTGTCACATTCTCGTAGTCTGAAATATAGGGCAACATCCTCAGAACAACTATCTCCTGGTTTTCACTATGGACAATCAAAGCATTGGCAGTACTGGTCATAATAACATTGTAAACTTTTATATAATTTGTCACAAGATTATATATTTCATTGGAAACTGATGACTTTGGTAACTCTTCCACAAAGTCAAAGCAAATCCCTTTCTGAGAAAACAAGGCAAGGTTATTCTGTAGAAACCTGTCTCGTTTCTCATCACTTTGGACAATTAATCCAATCCATATCCATTGAAAATAGAGCAACAATTGGATCATTGCCTTAATTTGAAGATTTTCATTTGGAAATGCCCGATGCAAGAAAATGTCCTGTGTGCTGACATCCAAAACTGGAGCAGAGCCATATGTCACCTAATATAATTTAAAATAATGATAAGAATTATAAATTATAAGAAATAATTTAAAAAGAAGGTTAAAACAGAACATGTGTCTAAGAATAAAGACTTCTGCAGAATCAACTGCTATATTGAGATATTGTCCAAAACACCAAGAAAACAAAACTTTAGTTTCTGTTCGCATTCTAAAAACAGAATATAAAATGAATTAATTTAATTTATTTTATTTAATTTATCAAATTTCTATGCTGCCCAACTCCCAAGGGACTCTGGGCAGCTTACAGCAAAAAATAATACAACAAAGAACATAGGAAAATTATTAAAAAACATTATAAAAACATTTTAAAAACATTAAAAGTCCATACACACCATTCATGTCCGGATCTTGCAAGATTGTAACAGCGAGATCAACGGCCCCAGGCCTGCTGGAAAAGCCAGGTCTTCACTGCCTTCCAGAAGGCCAATAGGGTGGGGGTACTCCGGATCTCAGGAGGTAACTGGTTCCAGAGAGCTGGGGCAGTCACAGAGAAGGCCCTCCCTCACGGGTCCGTCAGCTGGGATTGTTTAGCTGACGGGACCCAAAGAAAAGAGGAAAAGAAGATAGAAGAAGGGAAGGGAAGGAAAGGAAAGGAAAGGAAAGGAATGTCTTTTTCTTTAATTTTTTTTTTTGTATGACTGTGTTATAAGACTATTGATTGCTAAATAAATGTCATTAAATCATGGACTCTTAGTTATTACACAGATTTACTCTGTAACAATATTTCTCTAACCTGGTCTTTCAGATGTCCCAATGGTTTTAAAACTATAAGTTTATTAAATGTCTGGGAAAGCATAGAGAACATGCTATTGTTGCGGTAGCCAGGAGACCACAATGCTACTGCAGAGTAAGAGTTTGGCTTGCCAGAGTACCAGCCCTGGTATAAAAATACTTGCACACTTCCCAAGATGTGCCATAAGATGGTGAGCTGGCTTTGCACTAGAGAGAAAGATGAGTGGTTCTTCCTGCAGCATCACCCAAGGCCCCCTCCATTCATGGAGCTGCCTCACAAATGGGCATTGCAACTGGGAAAGTTCAGAGCCATCAGGAATCTGGCTCTGAACTGCACAGAGAACCAACTTGTCTCTCCACCAAAGTGATATCTAGCTATCTACTTGCATAAAACATACTTTCGAATTGAACAGAAATTGGATAGAAGTTGGTGGATAGTAGCTGAAATGACTGACAAGAGATGACCCTGCGATGCAGTGGTGGAATGCTGCCGGTTTAACAACTGGTTCAGTGAGCATGCCTAAGGCGCTTTTTTAAAAAAAAAAATTGATTTATATGCCACCCTTCTCCTCAGGGCGGCTCAGGGCGGCTTATAATGCGTTAAGCAATAGCCTTCATACTTTTGTATATTTATACAAAGTCAGCTTATTGCCCCCACAAACTGGGTCCTCAATTTACCTACCTTAGAAAGGATGGAAGGCTGAGTCAACCTTGAGCCTGGCAAGATTCGAACTTACTTTAATTGCAGACAGCTGGTGTTAAATTACAGTGCTTCTGTCTGTTGAGCTATCCAGGCTTGCGCGCAGCACTAAAAATGGAGCATTTAGAAGCTCAGCTGTTTACCTTCCAAGTCAGCAATGGTAAGTAGAACAGCGAGGAGGGGGGGAAAACCAGCTGTGCCACATGATTGAGATGAGCTACAAAGCAGGAAATAAAGAACAGGATAGAGCGGGAGCAGGTGGGCAGGGCCAACTTATTGTCGGTGCTACCGGTTCGCCTGTACCGGTCCAAACTGGCTGAATTCCACCTCTGATGCCATGCGGAGCTAGAGTTCAAAGACTGGAGCTGAGACCATCTCCAGTGTCATTAGCCAGTGTGCCTTTTCTAGAAAACATGTGTGTGCATTGAATGATACCTGTTTTAGGATTGGCTGATGAAGTTTTCAAACAAATGTTTCTTAGTGATCTGATTTATCACTAGGAGTTTGTGCTATATAGCCTTGAAAGCTTTGAATTAATTCCCATCAATTAATTCATTAAAAGAAGTTTTAAAATTTACTTATTTTCTCCCCCCCACCTTTCTCTGTCACACACAAACATATTTCCATGCTACCATAATTAAAAAAAAAAGTCTTGCTGACTTACACAAAACAGATACAAATTAAAATATCTAAGGTAACAACAAAACAACCATTAAAACAGAGGAAAAATAGAAATAAAATACAAATAAGATAAATGAGGGGAGGGCAAGATTTACACCACAGAAATGTTCTCTGAAACTTTCTGGATTCCAAAAGCAGCCAAAAATCAGACTAGAAAATAAATGGTTACTTCTCCAATAGTGGTAGAGAACATTTTCAATAAAATAAAATTTTCCAATATATCTTGGTCTTACTTTTATTGTTATTCAAGGTTTATCCATTTTATTTTCAGAATTTATTGAATTATTCATTGAACACAAAAAACAAGGAGGCTTTTGCAGAATCTGAGAATTACCAACTTTTGCAGGTTGAAATCTGGGAAAGCATTTTTATTTGATAATTAGAATGTATGAATGTAGTCTTTTGCTATATTTGCAAAGTGGAATAGGATCTTGTACAGACAGTCCTTATATTTATATCAGTGAGTAACAGAAGGAACAAAGAAATATACTTAAATTAAAATTATTGATAATAAAATAATAATAACAATAACAATAACAATAACAATAACAACAACAGCAACAGCAACAACAACAACAACAACAACAATAATAATAATAATAATAATAATAATAATATACTCTCAATGCTACCATTGACAATCATTTTGAAGAAGATGAACTGTGGATACGAACTTGCAAAGAAAGGACTGAAAATCTCGCACTTGATGTACATGGATGATTTGAAGCTGTTTGGTAAAACAAAAGCTGAACTGAATTTATTAATTGAAAACACAAAAGAATTCAGCCAAGACATTGGTATGCAGTTTGGAATTGACAAATGTGCAACAATAGCAACCAAAGCAGGCAAGATCATAGAAGAGGATGGAATAGAACTAGAGAATGAAGAAATGATAAAGGCAGTAAAATCAGAAGAAGGCTACAAGTACTTGGGGATTTTAGAAGCCTCTGACTTAATGAATAATAAAGTCAAGGAATTAACTTCAGCCAAGTACATTCGGCGAATTCGTAAGATATTAATGTCCAAACTGAGTGGAGGAAACATCATAAAAGCCATAAATACCTGGGTTATACCTGTGATTAGATACTCTGCAGGAATAATTGACTGGACCCAGATGGAGTTAGACAATTTGGACAGAAAAACAAGGAAGCTTGTGACAATGCCTTGCACCCTAAAAGTGATGTTGACCGATTATATTTACCAAGAGCAGAGGGTGGTCGAGGACTCCTACAAGTAAAGCAGACTGTGGAAGAAGAAAAATGCAGCTTGAATGATTACATCCAGAAAAGTGAAGAACCAATGATTAAGGAAGTAAATAAAGGAGGCCTTTTAAAGACAACTAAAACAAAAGCAGAATATAAGAAAGAAGTAATTGAGCAGCGAGCTGAAAATTGGAAACACAAAGCTCTGCATGGCCAATACTTGAAAAGTATTGAAGGCAAAGCTGACCAGAAACTAACTTGGAACTGGTTAAGATCAGGAGTACTGAAAAAAGAAACAGAAAGCTTTATTTTGGCAGCTCAAGAACAAGCCCTAGCCACAAACTGCATGAAGGCAAAAATTCAACATGTTACCACCAACACCAAATGCCGCCTCTGCAATGAGAAAGATGAGACCGTCGACCACCTGATCAGTGGGTGCAGCAAAATTTCACAAACTGATTACCTACAATGCCATGACCGTGCTGCTAAGATCATTCACTGGAAATTGTGCCAGAAGTTTGGATTTGAGTACAGCAAAAACCACTGGGAACATCAGGTCGAGAAAATTTTAGAGAATGAGAAACTCAAGATCTTGTGGGACTTTAGGATTCAGACTGACAGGCACTTGGTCCACAACACACCTGACATAACAATAGTTGAAAAGTAAAAAGTATGGTTCATTGACATTGCAATACCTGGTGATGCATGGATTGAAGATAAGCAGCAAGAAAAAATTACAAAGTACCGGGACTTGCAAATTGAAGTTAAGTGACTGTGGAAAAAGAAATCGTGTGTTGTCCCGATTGTAATTGGAGCCCTTGGAGCAATACCCAAAGGGCTACCCCGCTATTTAGAAATTCTAAATTTGCCAGACTTAAACATTTTGACTCTACAAAAAACCACCTTACTCGGAACAGCTTACATCCTCCGACGATACCTTAACAGTTCCTAGGTCCTTGGTTAGGACTCGAGCTGCTGAGCTATTAACCAGCCTCAAAGGCTGTGAATCTCACTAAAGATTAACTAATAATACTAATACTAATACTAATACTAATACTAATAATACTAATAATACTAATACTAATACTAATACTAATACTAATACTAATAATAATAATAATAATAATAATAATTATTATTATTATTATTATTATTATTATTATTATTATTATTATTATTATTTTAAGAAGATACTTGGTTGATACCTAAGATGCTGGCAGCAACCCATATCAACCATCAGCGCCAGTCAATGATATTTGTGATACATTTTTAAATGTTCAATTGACTGAGTTTCATGTTTAATGAATAAAAGAAATAATATTTCATCAATTAAATTATATTACTATGGGAAAACAAAATAAATCCGGGAAGCCTCACATTGTTAATTGAGATTTATATTTGTTTTTACTAGTGTCTATGTCCAAATTTTTTACATGCCCTTCTTTTGGAATAGAAGATGTTACCTGTGGGATTTTGTAAATGCTCAGAATGTTTGACATAAACTGACAAATGAAAGCATTATGTCCTGCAAGAACAGTTACTACATTGTCTTTGAGATCACACTTGTAGTTTGGGATGAATCTTCCCTTTGAAGAAAGAAGTTCCATGGAAGCAACATAAATCCACCTTGCCAGGGAATAGCTATTGAAATCATGTATGCCCAGTGTGATATTAGGCAAAATGCAAAGATTTTCATTGATTTCTTTGATTGCAAATTCCAAGGCCAGGATATGCTGAAAATTCTGAAGATGAATTCTGAAATGAAGTGTTAGAAACTTTGTTACATTTCTTCTGGTTTAGAACAGCAATATTGCTGCATGGTCATTTATATTTTTTTACTTGTACTTTTGAAGACATGATTTCACCACTCTAGCATAGAGGAAAAAAAAACAAAATAAATTAATAATCCAACCAAAGACTTTTCTGAGAGCAGAAAATCATGTAGGGCAGATGTTTGGAATCAACTTGTCTCAAAGATTCTTAATGATGAAATGGAATTTCCTACCCTTGTTCCTATGTTTAATATTTCCCTTTTGTAAATTAGAGAAATACAAATTAGGCAGTGGTGGGATCCTGCTGGTTTAAAAACCAGCTCAGTGATTGCGCGCTGGGCACATGTGCACAATTTTATGAAAATTTACCTTCTACGTTACTGCTGGAGAGTAACACAGCTGAGGTGTGGCAATCACGTCTGCCGTGTGTATCAGCTGGGAAGGTATAGGTCACTAAAGTGCAGGGGCAGGCGGGCCCACCTGATCATTGGAGCGAACCGGTTCGCTCCCAAATGATTGACGGAGCTACCGGTTCGCTCCCAGATGATCGTTGGAGCTACCAGTTCGCTCAAACCGGTCCGAACCGGTAGAATGCCAACTCTGAAATTAGGTATAATTGGATTCTTCACACCACTAAAAGAACTAAAGTTTTATGCAAGAGTAGAGGAACCATCCTAGCTCAGGAGTCATGGTGAGAGAAGGAGAAGGAGAAGGAGAAGGAGAAGGAGAAGGAGAAGGAGAAGGAGAAGGAGAAGGATGAGTAGGAGCAATTTCCTACTTACAGCTAGGATAAATAATCTGTCTCTTTGAATATCTATGTAATGATGCTACAATAGGGAAAGAGAACCTACTTGATTGTAACTCAAATAATGAAAACAAAAATGATATAAATAATGATCACAAATGCAAACACACAATACATATTTTAAATAAAATAAATATTGCCTTCACTCTGGAGAATCTCCCAAACAAATATCTTGCCAGAATAAATACCTTGGTTTTTTTCCCCATCTTACTCCTTTAAAAAATAACTACATGAATCAAGAGGTAATTTTATATTTGTATATTTATATTTGCTGTAAGAAAATTTGGAAGCTTCTTCTCCTTCTTTTTTTATTTTTCCCCTTTGCTTTGTCTTTATTTTTTGTTTCCCTTTACCTCTTTTCTTTATGATACTTCTTGTTTCTTTTTCTTTTTTGCAATAAAAATTATTAAGTAATAATTACATGAAATCATCAACTTTTTCTTCTGATGGATTCCTTATGAACGTCATGGAGCTGGAAAACATAGAAATTTGAGAAGTAATTCCACCAATAACCAGATCTTCTGAATGATACTTCTTATGCTTAATAAGGACTGGGTCTCCCACATTGCATTTACCGAGAGGAATATAATGTGTCATCCGAAGCAACAACATCAATAAAGTTGCAAGGAACAAAATCATGTTGGAAAACAGATGTTTTTTTTTGTTTTTTTTTGAGGTGAAATGTACCATGTAAAGAATTAGACTGAAAAAGCTCCACTGGCATTGCAAGACAGGGGGAAAAAAGATAATATTAATATCCTACAGTTTTATGTCATTGTTTTGTTATGTTACTTATGTCTCCAGAGGGACTTGAAGTAATTATGGAAATTTTCATAATGGCAGAAAGATACTCATTATATGCTTGGGGAAGGTGTTGCTAGGATGTAGTTGAAGAATACTTGCCATGTTTTCCAAAAAACAACAGTGGCTATGTTTGTGAAACTATGGGATTTTAAAAAAAACGAATATGTGCCATGATTATTTATTTATTTATTTATTTATTTATTTATTTATTTATTTATTTATTTATTTGATTTGATTTGATTTGATTTGATTTGTATGCCGCCCTATTTCCATAGGACTCAGGGAGGCTCACAACAATTAAAATCAACCAGATAAAAACATATTAAAATACAATTAAGCATATATTAAAATTCATTAAAATAATCAAACCCCATCAGTCCAGGCTAGGCAATTTAAACAGCCATGTCTTTAGTTTGCAGTGGAAAGTGTGAAGGTCATGTTTGACTCCTAGTGAACATACTGATAGATCTTGTCCATGACAATATTTCTCAAAACTGTTCTTTTCCAGTCTCCCAATACAGCACTCATCAGCATTGTATGTGTATCCATCCATTTTACTACTGATTGTCCCCTTCTTATTTTTCCTTCTACCTTTCCCAGCATTAAACACTTCTACAGAGAGTTGGCTCTTTACTTAATTAATTTGGGATGTGATGGCTCAGTGGCTAAGATGATAAGTTTGTCGATTGAAAGGTCGACAGTTCAGTGGTTCAAATCCCTAGTGCCGCGTAATGGGGTGAGCTCCCGTTACTTGTCCCGGCTTCTGCCAACCTAGCAGTTCGAAAGCATGAAAAAAATGCAGGTAGAAAAATAGGGATCACCTTTGGTGGGAAGGAACAGTGTTCCGTGTGCCTTTGGTGTTTAGTTATGCTGGCCACATGACCACGGAGACATCTTTGGACAGCACTGGCTCTTCAGCTTTGAAACAGAGATGACCACCGCCCCGTAGAGTCGGGAACGACTAGCACATATGTGTGAGGGGAACCTTTACTTTTTTATGATAGTTTGACTCTGGTCACTTGTGATTTCAGTGACAACCATAGCATCATTGGATCCTTTATTCCAAACCCCCTGAGCTAGTCCAGAAAGATACCATGATTCTTGGTATTAAAAGTTTGTAAGGCATCAAGGAAAGATGGAATGGGTATACCACCTCTATCCTGCTCCCACCAGAGAGTATCCAAAGACATAATCAATGTTTCAATTTCATACTAAAGTCTGAAACTTCACTGAAAAATTCTAAGTAATCTATTTCTTTTAGAATTCCCTGAGGTTACAGCTTGGTTGTTTTCACCACAACCTTTTCCTAAAAAGGAAAATTGGATCCAGGGCAAAAATTATCAAATACAATTGGATCTATTCTTGGTTTCCTGCATCAATGGGACCATCCATGTTCTAAATATTACATTTGCCACTGTCTGAACCTAATCGCATGTTGTATCCCAAGAAGCCTTGGCTAACCAGGAGGGACATTAGTTATTCAAAACAATGGCCTCATGTTTTCACACACTTATTGCCACAAAGTAGGCCTGAATGGATCTCTAGAAGGATCTTTGTTCTCGAATCTGGATGGATCTCTACTAGGATCTTTGTTTTGGAAGGCAGGTATTTCAATAAAGAAGACATTATTTTATTGAGTGGAGCAGCTATCTTGCACATAGGAGCCTTAGCAGAATTTGAAAATATTGTGAAGCAGAACTATAGACATTCATTAGACTTTATTTATGAATTCTACTCTGAAACAGAAATGTATGTTTCATCAAGTCTCATCAAAAGTGTATGTTTGATACCTAGGATACAACTGACAATTCAGTGGTGGGTTCCTCCCGGTTCCGCCGAGCCGGTAGCGGTGACAATATGACATCACTGAACCAGTTCTGCCCCCCCTGCATTATTCCCCGCCCCCTGCATTATTCTTACCTTTTATTTGGCCCCCAACCCCAATCTATTGCTGCCTCCTGAGTCCCAGCTGATCAGCTAGAGGGAAAAAAACTGTTTAAACTCTTGCTGCGGGGCTTCAAAGGGCCGCCCTACAGGTGATCAGTGTTAAAAGAAAGCAAATGAGTAGACCGATGCCTGCAAAAATAAATGGGTAGATCGGTGCCTGCAAAAATAAATGGATAGACCAGTGCCTGCAAAAATAAATGGGTAGACTGGTGCCTGCAAATATAAATGTGTAGACCAATGCCTGCAAAAATAAATGAGTAGACCGGTGCCTGCAAAAATAAATGGGTAGACCAGTGCCTCCAAAAACGAATGAGTAGACCGGTACAGCTCTGCAAGCAGTTAAAAGCCTGGTAGACCAGTACCTCTGCTAAATCCTAAAGAATTGTCACATGACCATCAAGCCACACCCACAAAATAAGCCACGCCCACAGAACCAGTAGTAAAAAAATTTAGAACCCACCCCTGTGATAATTGATATGCAGCAAGGGGATTATCAATGAATGAGTTTTACTGTAACATTTCAAAAGTAGATAACAGTGGTGTCTATTACTAGATTATCCCAGGTATGATTGGCAAATTGAATGCCAATTACATCAATATCCCTTGGAGATGTGATAAAGAGTTAGAAACATATTATTATTTGGAAAAGCTCAATGATTGTGGAAAAACTCAATGATTTTGGAAGTCAAGAGGGAAGAATGGCTAATTTTTATTTTATTTTATTTATTTATTTATTTTATTTTATTTTATTTCCCATTCTGTTACTTTCTTCTGCATAACAAAAACATTACACATCAGTAAAAGTTACTGAAATGGAATGCATACTATCCATAATGAAGATTAAATGTGATATATATTAGAAATTTGGGGATGAAATTCTGAGGATATGTTTCCATGCCTCCAAAAATAACCAGACAATTCAGTTATTTATTTATTTTTCATTATTTATAATTTATTTCACTATTCATTATTCATATATTCATTATTTATTTTATTTATAGGAGCCTGTCTCACAGTTTTGGTAAGCACAGGATTAAAAAGCAAATTAAGAAGAAATAATAACAAACAAAAATAACAGAAGAAAAGTATTGAAGTAGAGTTGGAAAGGGTTTTTATTAATTCAGTACAGATTGGCCAACATATACTACTAATAAACATTTTCAAATATGTAACCTCTTCTCATTCCATTCCAGTCTCTTTTAGATGTTTACCTTTTACCAAAGGTTTTTCTATGATCTATGTGAGTTATTAATGAGTGACTCTTAATGAGACATATTAAGTTTCTGTCATAATGTGGAGACATTATAGTGCAGTGGACTAAAAGAGTCAGTTTTACTTCTTTATCAGCTGCTCCTTTCTGTTCAAATCAGGCCTCAGAACAATAATGTAGCATTTAGGGGCAAAAATGCAAACCAGTAATCCAGCTGCAGAAGCCAAAATGGAGAAGATCTCCACAGCCACCATATATTTCCCCTTGGTACTCAAATAGGTGGGTACAAATGATATCCAGACACTGCAAAACACCAACATGCTAAAAGTGATAAATTTGGCTTCATTGAAACTATCAGGCAGCTTCCTAGCCAAGAAAGCCACTGTAAAACTGATAAGAGTCAAGAAACCCATAAAACCAAGGACAGTATAAAACATTATGGATGAACCTTCATTACATTCAAGAACAATTTCTTCAGATACAGAATATGTGTCTGAATCTGGGAATGGAGGAGAAATTGCCAGCCACACACTGCAAATGGTGACTTGTACCAGGGAGCAAGACAAGACAATAGTGTAAGCCAGCCTTTTTCCCACCCATTTCCTCATTTTGGAGCCTGGCTTGGTGGCCATGAAAGCAAGAACAACAATGGTTGTTTTCCCCAATATACAAGAAATGGCTACAGAGAAGATGATGCCAAAAACAGTTTGCTGCAAGAGACATTTCACCTGATCTGGTTGCCCAATGAAGAGCAAACTGCAAAGGAATGAGAGCAGGAGAGCAATGAGAAGAATGTAGGTGAGGTTCCTGTTGTTGGCTTTGACAATGGGAGTGTCCCGCTCTTTAATGAAGATCCCCAGTACCATGGCTGAGAAGAAAGAAAAGAAGAAAGCGATACTGGTCAAGGCGATTCCCAAGTATTCTTCATATGACAAAAATATGATTTGTTTTGGAATACAAGTATTTTGAGCTTTATTTGGGTATTGATCCACTGAACACCAGAAACAGTCATCTGCATCTGAAAAAGAAATAATTTCAGTCATATTTAAAAAGTTTATAAATGTCAGACCCAGCCCAAAAATAACACAGAACAGCCAAACTTCAGTTCTTTATTTGCTCATATATAGACAGAATCTTGCCAGACTAAACCTATATTACTCTAACCGTAATGGATAAATCCTGAAGATTTTAGGGAATGGCTATCCTAAAACTTTCTATTTCTTTGATCCAGCTCATGGTTGTGATTTATTTTTTCTCATTCCCCCACCTTCCATAGAAGGTGCTCCTATATTCCTGAGAAACTGCTACTTCATACCATCTCCCCCTTCATAGATATTCCACCACAATAAATGACAAAAGCAAGCTAACTTTCATAGTAAAGTCTAAATGCTTTTCATTTAGCCTTTCTACTAAAGGTGCCTTAACTTGAGAAAATCTTTTATATTGATATTGTTCATTTACTTAAGTATAAAAAGTCTTCATTCAAATGAAAAAGGATGAAATTAGGATATGATTTAAGGCAACTCATTTTTTCATAATAAAGAAATTATACTATATTTTATTCTTTCAAAACTCCTTTGCAGCTTGCCAATACTGTCAACTCGCAAAACATCCCTGGTCTACACTCAAGTTGCCATAGGGAAGGGGGATGGGAAAATGGCGAAGCAGCACAGCAGCCAAAAACAAAAGCACATTCCAGACATATCTCTCTCTAGGCTGTCTCCCAGGGTTACCCACAGCAGCTGGAGGGGAGTGATCTCTACAACCTACCAAATTGTTCCATTGACGAATGTGACTGAAGACACATCCTGAAGGGAGGGGAGAAACGTGGTCAAGTATGGGCTGTAAATTATGTGGGGTCAGAGTTGGCTTCACTTGGAACATGCCAACATGAAGCTCCCAATAAATAATTGGATTTCTTTTGGAGCTTGGCTTGAGGCTCATGATTTAATTAGGGCATCCATCGGAACCCTGACAAATATTTTATTTGATAAGAAGAGTAGGAGGAAGATTTGTTAATGCTAGATTTGTTGATATTTCTTTTCCTATTAGCCCTCTGTGTAAGGGAGTTGTTGCTTTAGAATAAAATAGAATAACAGTGTTGGAAGGGACCTTGGAGGTCTTCTAGTCTAACCCCCTGCCCAGGCAGGAAACCCTACACCACTTCAGACAAATGATTATCCAATCTCTTCTTAAAAATTTCCAGTGTTGGAGCATTCACAACTTCTGCAGGCAAGCTATTCCACTTATTAATTGCTCTAACTGTCAGGAATTTTCTCCTTAGTTCTAAGTTGCTTCTCTCCTTGATTAGTTTCCACCCATTGCTTCTTGTTCTATCCTCAGGTGATTTGGAGAATAGTCTGACTCCCTCTTCTTTGTGGCAACCCCTGAGATATTGGAACACTGCTATCATGTCCTTCTAGTCCTAGTCCTTCTTTTCATTAAACTGGACATACCCAATTCCTGCAACTGTTCTTCATATGATTTAGCCTCCAGTCTCCTAATCATATTTGTTGTTCTTCTCTGCACTCTTTCTAGAGTCTCAACATCTTTTTTACATTGTGGCAACCAAAACTGAATGCAGTATTCCAAGTGTGGCATTACCAAGGCATTATAAAGTGGTATTAACATGATCTTGATTCTATCCCTCTGTTTATTGCAGCCCAGAATTGTGTTGCCTTTTTTTAGCAGCTGCTGCACACTGCTGGCTCATATCTAAATGGTTGTCTACTAGGATTCCAAGATCCCTCTCACAGTTACTACTATTGAGCAAAGTACCACATATACGGTACCTGTGCATTTTGTTTTTCTTGCTTAAATGTAGAACCTTACTTTTTTCACTGTTAGATAGTGCCCAATGTTCAAGTCTGTCAAGATCCCTCTGTATCTTGAGCTATCTTCTGGAGTGTTGGCTATTCCTGCCAGCTTAGTGTCATCTGCAAATTTGATGAGTTCCCCATCTATCCCCTCGTCCAAGTCATTGATGAAGATGTTGAAGAGTACTGGGCCTAAAACAGAGCCTTGGGGTACTCCACTGCATACTTCCCTCCATGTAGATGCAGTTCCATTGAGGACTACATGTTGAGTGCGGTTGATCAGCTAGTTACGAATCTATCTAGTAGTAGGTTATGGTCTACTTTATCAAATGCTTTACTGAAGACCAAGTAAATTTTATCGACAGTATTTCTCTGGTCCACTAATTTTGTCACTTTGTCAAAGAATACAATAAAATTAGTGTGGCATGATCTGTTTTTGACAAACCCATGTTGGCTTTTGGTTATTACTTGGTTTGCTTCTAGGTGTTTGGTGATTCGTTGTTTGATTATTTTTTCCAGATAATCCTTTCCATTCCCCATGTTCAGCTCTTATAGGATAATGCTTCATTTACAACCTAGGACAACCTTATGAAGAAAAAACCCTGTGTGAGAGTTTATGAATATTCAGTGCTGTATTCTGATAAAGCCATGATCAAGCATGCTCCTGAGGAAAGGAGAAGATAATATTAGATGAAAAGAATTCTTGCACTCCAAAGCTTTTTGCTTTCAAATAGTAGTCCCTATCTATCTGAAATTATTGTGAACTTGTTAAACCTGTAATTTGATTTCTGGAAAACTTATTAGAATTTTCCTTTCGTGATAATTCTTACCTGCCTTATTTGAGATCTTCCCTTCTGGACACCGGAGGCAATCATAGCAACAAAATGGCTTCCCTTCTATTTTCACCTTACTGTAACCTGAAACACAATGATCATTGCATGCAGAAACGGGTTGCACCTGTTGAAAATTAATAATGGACTATTCAGAAATTAAACCTTAATATTCAGAAATTCTTGTATTTCAGATGCACGGATTCCACTACTTTTCCTATATATATTTCAGATTTTTCTGTTTGGCTATGGCATGAATATATTATTCATCTGGCACATTTCTGTGATGTAAATTGTAGAGGTTCCTCAGAAAATAATTTTTTTATTTAATATTCTTAATCTTAGAATAACATCATTCTTAAAATTGGAATCATAAACATTTGTAAGAACAGTTATTATGGTCTTCACTCCATTTCACTGTGTGGCATCAGGAAGGCATCTGGCCAGTAAATGCTCAGCTTTCTCCAATCACCCCAACTTTATCCTGAATTAAGGGATTACAAGGTCATAAAAGGAGAGCAATATTATGATTTTCACTACATTCCTTATTTTACAAATACTTGAAAACATACCATGTGATGTGGATACAGGTACCTGTATTTATGTAATATTTGTTAAGGGTCTACAGTTGCAGACCAAAACAAAACTAAAAGAATGATATGCCAAAAAGAAATTGCACCACAGTAACTACATATGCTTGTATCATCTTCAGTTCTGATGGTTTCTGTCTAGATTTTGGACAGCACGAAATCTGGGTTCCTTCTAAGAGACTCTGCCTTCTCATTTAATAGGAAGTGCAACATTCCCTGTTGTGACCAGCCTGAATTTATTGAATAGTTTGTTTCTGAATTAATTATCCTATTATGAAGATATATAGGGCCTTTCAAAATATCTGTGCATTTTAGTATCAAAACATACCATAAATCTCTTGAATAGGGAATTTCATTGGATTTCTTGATTGATAGCATGGTTCTTGATCAATAGCATGGAACATATAGTTTCTAAGTATGCCAGTTTGGCTGTCTCCACCCCCCCCCTAATTTTCATGCAATGAAAATAAAAGCATTTTGAGTACTTTTTTCAAGTTCCTTTACTCCTTGTTCATTTGGACAGTAGGATATATTCCATAACTTGTTGTTGTTGTTAGTTGCGAAGTTGTGTCCAACCCATCATGACCCTATGGACAACATTCCTGCAGGCCTTCCTGTCATCTACCATCCTCTGGGGTCCATTTAAGCTCATATCTACTGCTTCAGTGACTCCATCCAGCCACCTCATTCTCTGCCGTCCCTTCTTCTTTTGCCCTCAATCGTTCCCAGAATTAGGCTCTTCTCCAGGGAGTCCTTCCTTCTCATTAAGTGGGCAAAGTATTTGAGTTTCATCTTCAGGATCTGGTCTTCTAAAGAGCAGTCAGGGTTGATCTCCTCTAGGACTGACCGATTTGTTCGCCTTGCAGTCAAAGGGACTCGCAGGACTCTTCTCCAGCACCATAGTTCAAAGGCCTCAATTCTTTGGCGCTCAGCCTTTTTTATGGTCCAACTTTCACAGCCATACATTGCAACTGGGAAAACTATAGCCTTGAGTATACACTCTTTTGTTGGCAGGATGATGTCTCTGCTTTTTAATAAGATCACATTCACAATGATTAGAAGAAAATTGTCTGAAAATTGAAGTGTAATATGAATAAGGAGATAACCATTTCACATATTCTGAGGTAAGTGCAGAACCTACCTTCTTAAACATGGTGGGCCAGGTAATCTCTGCAGAAATGGACAACAGCTTGTTTGGGGGAGCAAATGGATCTACTTTCCCAACTTTCACTTGATGGAAGGATTGGTTGGGGAAAGTGACCCAGTTGATTACATCAAAGCCAGTTGCTATTTTCCCATTTTGATCAAAGAAAATCTTTTCTCCAGCACTATTGTTAAACGAAACAGTCCTCAGGTATTTATGAAGCTAAAGAAAATTATATTTAAAAATGGTAAAAATATACAAAGTTAATCAAATACAGAGTAATGGTAGCTAAATGTTTCTTCAGAATTGGAAGGGATATTAATGTTAATAAAAGGAAGGAAGGGGAGGGGAGGGGAGGGGGAGAGGAAAGGAGAGGAGAGGGATGGGAAATTAATATTGGGGAATCCTTCCAGTGTCTTTTAAATCATGCTATACAGTAGTGGCCAAAATTGTGGAAAGTGTATTTTTGAGGTTTGATGACTAATAACACCACTTTCTTTTTGGAGTTTCAAGATAATCATATTCCACTGCTGGAATGGCCTGGGAATAGCCCAGACCTTAACCCAATTGAAAATCTATGGAGCCGACTAAAGAAACTTGTTAGTCAGAAGCGACCCAGCAATAAAACCCACTTAATAGAAGCAATCATTCAATCTTGGTTTCACTTTATAACAGCTGCAGAACTAAAAGACTTGGTTCACTCCATGGGAAGATGTTGTAAGGCCCATCATTCATGCTAAAGGTTACCCAACTGACGTGATAATTTTTCTACATCTCATTTTTTCCTATGGTGATAATTTTTGTATATCTTGTTTTTCCTTTTCTTCTTTATATTGTGACTGCTATTCTAATAGCAAATCCTTCATAAAAGTTATTGCATTACATTCTTGATTAAATTATCTTTCCATTGATATATAATTTTATGGTAGTACTAAAAAAAAAAAAGGTGGTGTTATTAGCTAGTTTTAGAAAATACACTTTTCCCAAAAGGTTTCCACAATTTTGGCCACTACTGTATATTCAAAGATCAAGACAAGGTGGTTTGCAACCACTATAACAAGTTACATCATTATTCATTTTGAGTTGCCAAATGTTATTCATTATTATTCATTCTGAGTTTCCAATTCCCACTCTTATTGCATTCCATATGCGATTTCTGCTCAATGTCCCCTTTTGCTTTCTTCCCACTGACCACCTCTTCCTTTCTCCTTCTTTGTAGACCTCTCAAAACATAGGGTCATGTTGAAAATAATAGTCAAAATTGCATCAAAATGTTCTATCTGATGTTCTAGTGATTCCTGCTTAATATGGAAAGGGAATTCATTCCCCTCTTACCTGCCACACATTCTTATTCAAAATTCTCACTTTGGAACTTTTTCTAGTTGACATCCATTTGTGCTGGGATGAAAGCAAGGTTTGCAAAGCATGTGCCACAGCATGGACAGCATTGTAGACACTGTAACTCTGTCCAGTCATCCTGGTGTCAAATACGGATTGAGGAAGGGTCTCCAGCTGCTCCTCACCTGTGCATTCGTTCACAGCATCCTCCTCTAACATGGCATTGGAGAAAGAACATTGAAATGCACTTTCCCAAAATATCCTGATCCAACTGTCTTCCTCGGCAAGAGTGACTTTTCTCATCTGAAGAAATCTCTTGAATTCTAAGAGATCCTTTGAGGAAACTTGAAAAGACAGAGAACCATGGATGAACTCCATACTCTGATATCTTTGAAAAGGAGCAGATGAGAACTCCATCTGGGCTGGCATTATCCAAATTTTGTCTTTTCTCTTCACTACATTGTATTCAAATTCTGAAATGTAGGGCAACATTCTCAATACTGTTGTTTCCTGGTTTTCACAATAGATGATGACAACGTTGGCCCTGCTCCTCATGATAACATTGTAAATCTTTATATAGTGTGTAAGTGTACCTACAAATTCATTGGAAACGGCTCCTTTTGGTAACTCTTCTACAAAGTCAAAGCATATACCTTCCTGAGAAAATAGAGCAATCCTATTCTGTAGAAACCCGTCTCGTTTATTGGTACTTTGGACAATCAGCCCAATCCATATCCACTGGAAATAGAGCAACAGTTGGATCATCCCCTTAATTTGAAGATCTTCATTTGGAAATGTCTGATGCAAGAAAACAGCCTGTGTGCTGACATCTATTGCCGGAGTAGAGCCATACGTGAGCTGAGGAAATTACATGTGGAATCCAATAGTTATGACCCATAAGTATCAGAAATTATTCAAAACACACTTAGCAGATAGTATGGTATGGCGATCAATGAGACAGGACTTACTAAAAAAATAAAAGCTGCTTTCTAAGAATAAAGAATAATTTGTTCAGAATCAGAATAAAAGTATGACAAAATAGTAGAGGGGCTTGCCTAATCCAAGCCCCTACTGAGGCAAGAGACCCTATACAATTTCAGACAAGTGGCTGCCAAATCTTTTCTTAAAAACCTCTAGTGATGAAGCACTCACAAGTTCTGAAGGGAAGCAATTCTACTGATTAATTGCTCTCCCTTTCAGGAAATTTCTCCTTAATTCTAGAACAATAGAATAACAGAATTGGAAGGGACCTTGGAGGTTTTCTAGTCCAACCCCATGCTAAATCAGAAAACCCTATAGCATTTCAGACAAATGGTTATCCAACATTTAAGTTAGTTAAGAGCCTTGGTGGCTCAGTGGACTAAAGTGCTGTTAAGTAGCACTTAGCTGCCAGCTTCCTGTAATTACTGCGAGTTCAAATCTCACCAGGCTAGCCTTCCATCCTTCCGAGGTAGGTAAAATGAGAACCTGGATTGTGGGGGCAATAAACTGACTTTGCATAAAAAAGAACACCGCTTGGGGGGGCCGAAAGCCGTACTAAGCAGGTATATACAGAAGTATGAAGGCTATTGTGTAACGCATTGTAAGCCGCCCTGAGTCTCTGGAGAAGAGCGGCATATAAATCAAACCAATAAATAAATAAATCAAACCAATAAATAAATAAATAAATAAATAAATAAATAAATAAATAAATAAATAAATAAATAAATAAACATCTTAAAAACTTCCAGTGTTGGAGCATTCACAATTTCTGGAGGCAAGTTGTTCCACTGATAAATTGTTCTAAGTGTCAGGAAATTTCTCCTTAGTTCTAAATTGCTTCTCTCCTTGATTAGTTTCCACCCATTGCTTCTTGTCCTGCCCTCAGGTTCTTTAGAGAATAGCTTGATACCCTCTTCTTTGTGGCAGCCCCTGGAACACTGCTATCATGTCTCCCCTAGTCCTTCTTTTCATTAAACTAGAAATACCGAGTTCCTGCAACCATTCTTCACATGTTTTAACCTCCAGTCCTCTAATAGGACTATTAAATTGTCTAGATTGTTTCTCTCCTTGCTTAATTTCTATCCATTGTTCCTTGTCCTGCCTTCTAGTGCTTTGGAAAATAGGTTGACCCCCTTTTTCTTTGTGACAACCCCTCAACTATTGAAACACTGCTATCATGTCACCCCTAGTCTTTCTTTTCACTAGAATAGAAATACCCAATTACTGAAAGCGTTCTTCATATCTTTTAGCCTTCAGGCCCTTAACCATCTTTGTTGCTCAAAATCAATTCCTATGATGTAATAACTGTTCAACAGTAAAAGTTCTGATTTCTCTTTCTGCACTGAAGAGGATCTTAAAAATATTCTTCTCTTAAATTTCTATAGATAGCATTCCATGTAGTCTCTAAGAATCGACACCAACCCAATGCTACAAAATCTTTAATCATAAAGCACACCGATACAAAAAGGAAAAAAAAAACAACCAAAAAACTTTTTAAAACTTTTGAAAATTGTGTAGCACATGTGTGGTACAGTGAATAATAACCCAAACCTACACCAGTAGTGGGTTGCCCCTGGTTCAGACCAGTTTGCAAGAACTGATAGTAAAACCGGCAGGAGGCCCCGCCCACTGCCCCGGATATAGTCATCAGAGATCTGCGCATGCGCGTGTGATCCCGTCGCAAACCGGTAGTAAAGGTAAGTAGAACCCACCCCTGATCTACACCAACACCAATGAAATGTTGCAACAAATGATCCTCAGTGATATATTTTCACCAGGCGTTTCTTTTATGCAGTCCCAAAGTATAAATTAATTTACTAGGTGTTCTTAATAAAAAAGCCAAGGGTTTTTAACTCACTAGATATTTGCACAAAGTAATTTGGTTCATAAGTTGTGAATTAATTTTCTACCTAAGCAGGGGAGTGGACTAGAAGACCTCCAAAGTCTCTTCCAACTCTGTTATTCTATTCTATTCCTATCAATTACTGCCAATGTCAGAATTGGTCAGATTTTTTTTTTTTTTAAAAAAAAAACAATGTTTCCCATAAGAATATAAGCTCTAGTAATATACTGTAGATTATAAACCAGAAATATTTTTGTTAGGCATAATATCGGAAAAATATGATAAAGAGAATCTATATTTAATATTACATGTTCTGACAACAGCAAGAATTGTATATGCACAGTACTGGAAAAATGAGGAAACACCCGCAGAAGAAGATGTAATTTTAAAAAATTGGATTGTGCAGAACTGGACAAACTGACTTTAAAATTAAAAGAAAAAGACGACACAGAGTATTTTCGAACATGGGACTTGTTTTACAAATGCTTAGATAGTAGAGGTAAAAATTAGGAGAAGGAAAAAAGTATTATTAGATATAAATAAAATGATCCAGACAATACACTGTTCACTAAGCACCTACAGTAGTGGACAAAATTGTGAAACCCTTTTGGGGAAAGTGTATTTTTGAGGTTTGATGGCTAATAACACCACTTTTTGGGGGGGAGTTTCAAGATAATCAAATTACACTGCTGGAATGGCCTGGGAATAGCCCAGACCTTAACCCAATTGAAAATCTATGGAGCCAACTAAAGAAACTTGTTAGTCAGAAGCGACCCAGCAATAAAATCCAGTTAATAGAAGCAATCATTCAATCTTGGTTTCACCTTATTACAGCTGCAGAACTAAAACACTTAGTTCACTCCATGGGAAGACGTTGTAAGGCTGTAATTCATGCTAAAGGTTACCCAACTAAATATTAACTGACATGATAATTTTTCTACATCTCGTTTTTTCCTATGGTGATAATTTTTGTATATCTTGTTTTTTCTACGTGTTTCACTTTTCTTCTTTATACCGTAACTGCTATTTTAATAGCAAATCCTTCATAAAAGTTATTGCACTACATTCTTGATTAAATTATCCTTAACTGATATATAATTTTATGGTACTACTCCCAAAAAAAAGTATTATTAGCTAGTTTTAGAAAATAAACTTTTCCCAAAAGGTTTCCACAATTTTGGCCACTACTGTATCTATGTAATGTGAAAATATATAAACAAACTGTTTTTTAAAAAAAGAATATAAGCTTTAATCAGAATTATTGCTTTGATAATGGGTAGCCATCGTTTGTTTGTTTCCAAATTTGAAAACTTCTCAGAGAATTTTACATTTTTATTTATTCATAGTTCATGTAACACTTTCTATATACAGGTCACAGGTCTTTTTCTGTGCATCTTTCTTTTAGAAGTACATCTTACCTGTGGAATCTTGTATATACTCAGAATATTTGACATGGACCGACAAATGAAAGCATTAGGTCCAGCAAGAACAGCTAACACGTTGTCCTTGAGATCACACTTGTAGTTTGGGATAAAATTTCCCTTTGAAGAGAGAAGTTCCATAGAAGCCAGATAGATCCACCTTGCCAAAAAATAGCTATTATAGTCATGTATGCCCAATGTGATATTAGGTAAGATGTAGAGATTTTCATTGATTTCCTTGATGGCAAATTCGAAGGCCAGGATATGCTGAAAATTCTGGAGTTGAATTCTGAAATGGGATTTATTAACAAATGTTACCTTTGTTACCATACTTCGGATTCCAAATATGAGCTTTGCTATGTTTTGATTTATATTTTTAATCATATTCAGAAGAGCGGATTCTATTGCTGTAAAGGAGGGGGGGAATCTATACAGAGTTTTAATGAAGCTAAAGATTTTTCTGAATATCAGTCTAAGTACATCACTAATTTGAGAGTCTTGTGTTTTCAGATTCATCATGCTCAAATTGAGTTTCCAATCATTGTTCACAATTTTAACATTACAATTCTGTAGATGAAAAAAATATGAATCAGATATACCTGAATTTTCTCTATCATGTGGAAAGCTAAATTTCGATGCAAAAATACAAGAAAGGAAAACTTGTTAAACCTATAAATGGGAAACTTTCTTTGGAAGACAAAACTGGATAGAAAGTCAATTCCTTTCATATGTTATAATTTTCCATCACTTCTATGGGGATGTCGTGCAATACAAAAATTGACCTGAGTTTAGTAGAACTACTTATAATTTTATCATCCACTCTTTTTTTATATAAACCTTTATTAACATACAAGTTAAAATACAAGTTAAAATACATCTATAACAAAAATACATCCTTAATAATTACACAATTCAACATCTTTCTGACAGTACGTAATTCTCAACTTTTCCCACATATTTCTACTTAATCAACATATTTAAACACATTTTATATCTTATTTTATTCTATAATTCCTTATTTTTAATTTCTATCCATTGATACCAATTTTCCCAAGTTAAGTGGTATTCCGACTCTTCCTTATTATATAATTCTAAAGTAAGTTTGTCCATTTCTGCACATTCAAAAATTTTCCGGATTATTGCACAGTCTGTTGGTATAGTGGATATTTTATCATCCACTCTTAATCTTTTCCAATCTTTACTTCTAATTATTTTTCTTCTATTGATACTAGCAATCCAATATTTAAACAATTACAATTCCAGGGAAAAAAAATGGCATGGAAATTCAGAATTGCCCTATGTAATACTTTTTTTCCTGTACTTTTAAAGCTATTATCTCTTACTCAGCTGTGGGTTTCACATATTCTTACCACCAGTTTGCTGTGCATGCATGCCTTCCACGCATGCATCCAGCCTCGAAAATGTGGCTAAATAGGACAGCATTATGCCAGGGCGGGTGGGCGTGCCTACTCTCAGTCGCCGCTATCGGTTCACCCAAACCAGTACGAACCGGCTGAATACCACCTCCGCTCTTACTGCAATGGTTTCAACCACCCATAGAAGCCAACTCTGCTCTTTACTTTTATATATCAAATAACTGTGAAGGGAGATCCAGTTATCAGTTATCCACACAATAAAAATAATTACATTAAATCATCAACTATTTCTTTAGAAGGCTTCTTTGTGAATGTTATCTTGCTGAAAAAATGGTAAATCTGAGAAGTTATGCCACCAATAACCAAATCTTCCGAATGGTATTTCTTGTGAGTAAGGAATGGGTCCCCCACAGTCCATTTACCAAGGAAAATATACCATGTGATATGAGGCAATAATATTAATAGGGTTTCAAGGAATAAAATTATTGTGCCGAACAAGCCTTCCTTTGGTTGCAACATACTCTGTAAAGAATAAAAGCAACAAGGATTTTATCTCTCCAGACTCATCCTATGTAGAGAAAAGATAATATACAGCAGAGTTTTAATCCATTGGTATTTTTTGTTTCTGGAATCTCATTAGGGACTTGGACTTAATCACTGAGAATTTGATAATGATAGGGCAAATCACTCTATACTCGGGGAACCTTTGGCCAAATGTGCCTGTGGAATATGCCATATATTTAATATAAATATATAATATATATAGTATAGTATAGTATAATAATATAATATAATATAATATAATATAATATAATATAATATAATATAATATAGTATAGTATAGTATAGTATAGTATAGTATAGTATAGTATAGTATAGTATAGTATAGTATAGTATAATATAATATAATATAATATATATATATATACATATATATATATATATAAAATTTAATATTTATATATATATATATAAATATATAATATAATATAATATAATATAATATAATATAATATAATATAATATAATATAATATAATATAATATAATATAATATAATATAATATTATAATATATAATAAAATAATAATATAATATAATATAATATAAATATATTTAATATAAAAATTGCTGCCTATTTTGCAGTGCCATAACAATCGAAGCCTGCAATTAAACATAAAATATTTGAGATTGGGGTGGAAAAACTTAGAAAAGTAAAAAGGTCAGCTCCTTCTCTATTTGCAAAGGTGACATCTCCAAAAGGAGAATGAAGAAATACCAGAACAATTCAAGTTTTCCAATCGAGAGAATATCTAATTCTCTCAATTGGAGAATTCTCTCAATTCTCTAATTCTTCCACAAAATATGAATCATGAAATATGAATCACACACTTCTTTCTTCCTTTTTTAACTATCCCAAACCAAATGTGTTACTCGCAGGGGTGGGTTCTACTTACCTTTACTATTGGTTCACAACGGGGCCATGCGCAAGCTCTTCTGCACATGCGCAGAAGCATTTTCATGACATCAGGGTCAGTGGGCAGAGCCTCCCGCCGGTTTTACTACCAGTTCTATAGTGTGAACCGGGCACAACCCACCACTGGTTACTTGATATATAATATGTAAGCAAAAGGTATATTGGTGATTGCAAATGGATAAGTGTCAGGAAGGAATACCCTGAAAGTAACTGTGTTTGCAAGGCACTGTCAGCCCTGGAGGCCATCTTTTACTTTTGTTTGCTGGATCCGTGTCCCTCCTGGCTTGTTTCGGCTGCCTGGGAGGTGACTGGAGACTGGATCCAGGCAACTGTCAACTCTTCTTTGAGGGAGGGGGTCTTCCCTGCCTCTCTTAAGGAGGCGGTGGTTTGATCCCTCCTCAAGAAGCCTGCCCTGGATCCAGACTCACTTAATAACTATCGGCCCATCTCCAACCTTCACTTTATTGCTAAGGTTGTTGAGACCGTGGTGGCACAACAGCTCCCACATTTCCTGGAGGAAATGGAGTACCTAGACCCGTACTAATCGGGTTTCCGGTATGGGCACAGCATGGAAACGGCACTGGTTGCTCTGGTGAATGATCTCTGGGGGGCCCGGGATGGAGGTTGTTCCTCCATCCTGGTACTACTTGACCTCTCAGCAGCTTTTGATACCATTGAGCATGGTATCCTACTGCAGTGGCTTGAGGGGTTGGGTGTGGGAGGACTGTTTTACAGTGGTTCTCCTCCTACCTCTCAGGTCATTCGCAGTTTGTTTGGGCGGGGGGACAGAGGTCCACCCCGAGGCTCCTAACTTGTGGGGTGCCTCAGGGGTCAGTTCTCTCCCCTCTACTCTTTAACATCTATATGAAGTCACTGGGTGAGACCATTCATGGTTTCGGGGTGAGGTATCATCAGTACGCCGATGATACTCAATTATACATCTCCACCCTGGACCACCCCGGGTATGCCCTTTCCATGATGTCCCGATGCCCGGAGGTGGTGCGGGTCTGGATGGGTAGGAGCAGACTCAGACTCAACCCTTCCAAGACTGAGTGGCTGTGGTTGCTGGCATTACGCGCTCTAGAGGTCCCATCACTTTTGATGTGGGGGGGGAGGTACTTGCCCCCATTGGAAGGCCCACAACTTGGGTGTCCTCTTGGACTCCCGGCTGTCTTTAGAACACTTGACGGCTGTGACCAGGGGGGCTTTTGCACAGGTATGCCTGGAGTGCCAGTTACGCCCTTTTCTAGACCGTGATGCCCTTCGCACGGTCACTCATGCCCTGGTTACATCCCGCTTGGATTACTGCAATTCCCTCTACATGGGGCTGCCTTTGAGGTGCACCTGGGGGCTCCAGTTGGTCCAGTATGCGGCCGTGCGGGCGGTTACAGAAGCTCCTCATTACTCCCGTGTAACACCTCTCCTGCGCGAGCTGCACTGGTTACCGGTGGTCCACCGGATTCACTTCAAGGTGCTGGTATTGACCTATAAAGCCCTACATGGCTTAGGCCTGGGGTACTTGCAGGACCATCTCCTGCCTGCTTCCCACTGTCCTGTCCGCTCTCACAGAGCCGCTCTCCTCAGGGTACCATCGACCAGGCAATGCCCAGGGGTAGGGCATTCTCTGTGGGTGCCTCTACCCTTTGGAATGAACTACCCACCGAGCTCTGGACGGCCCCGATTCTCCGCTCCTTCCATCGAGGCCTGAAGATTTAGCTATTCCAACGAATGGGTTGATGCTGATTCTTGGGTTTTATTATTTATTGATTTTAATTTGGTTTTAACGAGATTTTATTATTTTATCATTGTATGTTTTTAATCCTGTGTTCACCGCCCTGAGTCCTTCGGGAGAAGGGCGGCATATAAATACTGCCAAATAAAATAAAAAATAAATACTTTGGATCTTCAGGGCTGCCACACTTAGTGCTGTGGGAATCTGGGAGGGGAGATTGCATAGAGTGGTGGAAATATTTAGCCATAATAACATTCCTTTCTCTGAGAGTCAAGGACATTCCAGCCTGCACCTGGAGTGGCGAGACTGGGAGGCATCTCCAGTTGGTACAGTGCATTGATTGGACCATGTGATGGACATGTAGGTGCAAGGGAAGGGACTTGGACTTTCTTTTGGGTGGAGAAAATCTGGAAGCTTTCATATTTGGGTTTTCCCAGATGTGCCAATATGACATCGCTAATAAAATGGAACTTTGAGGAACTCCAAGCCTCAGAATCTTCTTTCTTTGGGGGTGTTACTTGGAACCCTGACAGGCACTATATGTGCAATTTCATCCTTATCTTAGGAGGCATTAAGAAAAGGTAGAGAAACAGTTTGGTGGTGGGGTTAAGACACTAGGGTAGAATCCAGGAGACTATGACTTCTAGTTGTGCCTTCCATGCAAAGCCAACTAGGTGACCTTGGGGCAGTCACTCTCTCTCAGCCCTAGAAAGGAGGCTATGGCAAATCACTTTTTAAAAAACTTGCCAAAAAACCTGAAGAGACTTTTCATTTACTGAGAAGAATATTAGTTAATTAGTTTACTCTATTGTTATTGCACATGGTACAATGAAATTAAATGCTGTCTTCAGTGTACATTATAACTATAAAAATAAAACACAAATGTACAACCTTTACATTATATATAATTGAAATTGAAAACCCGATATTGCACTATACCATAGAATTCAATATGGTTATTGCCCTGGGATGGAAGCTGTTTTTCAGCCTATTTGTCCTTGTTTTTATTGTCCTGTACTGTCTGCCAGATGATAATAGTTCAAAAAAAAAAAAAAGGTGTCCAGGATGCGATGGATCTTTAAGAACATTTTGAACTTTCTTAAGGCAGTGGGAGCTATAAAGCTCTTCCAGAGAGGGGAGAGGGAAACCAATGATCCTCTGGGCAATGACGTTAGCCCTCTGGAGTGCTGTCCTATCTGCTACTGGCAATTGGCAAACCATACACAAATGCAGTAAGTTAAAATACTCTCTATGGTGCAGCGGTAGAAGGTCACCAGCAGTTTTTCATTCAGTTGTTGTTTCCTGAGAAGTCTCAGGTAGTATAATCTCTGCTGGGCCTTTTTGACCAGTGCTGCAATGTGAATGCCCCAAGTCAGGTCCTCTTTTATGATAACACCCAGAAACTTAAAACTGGTCACTTGCTCCACTCGGTCTCCATTGATAAGCAAGGGCTGGAGGTCTGATCTATTCCTTCTATAGTCCACTATAAGCTCCTTGGTCTTATTTGTGTGTAATATAATGTGTAATCCGAGTCAACAACATTAATAAAGTTGCAAGGAACAGAATCATATTGGAGAACAGACATTCTTTTGGGTTAAGTGTTGTTGGAAGAAATATCCATCTGGTTCAGTTCCAAGTGGGGAGAAAGACACTGGAAACATGGAGACTGATTGGAAAGATGGTTTATTGATGGACAGGAACACATGGATTTTGAGGTCCTAGGCATCTGAACACTTGGTTTGATGAGTACATGGAATTTTATACAGTTTGTCCTACAGCACTTTTTATTTAGAGGCTTGTTTTGTGTATTTTGTTATTTGATTTTAATTAGTTTGTCTCGCGAAGGCTAGCAATGACTTGGGGTTTTTAATCTTATTTAATAAATGTAATTAATCCTGTCTTTCTTGGGGTTTTAATCCTGTCTTGAATGGATTACCAAATCTGCATTTCTAAAAGTTGGCCCCTTAGTTTCTACTTGGGGCAGAGAGCTGAGGCTTTGAGTTTCTTGTCATCCAAGAAGCTTCTTCAGTTCTGGCTAGATGTTGGGGAATGAAAAGATTTATTCAAAACTGAAGAACCTTCTTGGATGAGAAGTGAAATGTTTCCAAGGAAAAAAAAAAACAAGAAAGCCCAGTTGCCTTTTGAAAAGCACCTTTGGGATGACGATGACTTGGATGATTGAGAATCTCCATAGACATTCTCATCTTTTCTCTATTCTCCCTTGAGAGTGGAGACAGCAGCCAGATGTGGGTTGTGCTCATTGGTCAGATGTGGGACTGAGCCTGTCAATTCATTCTTAAATTCCACCCCTATTCCTAGGGGATTCCAGCTTTTTTGCTCAGTCGTCAGACTGGACAGTTGTGTTTTCTTCTGTTTAGAAATATAACAAGTGGAACAAAAAGACAAAAAGCAAGCTTAAATTTTATTTCTCCCATTTCTCCTCCACTATTCCCCCCCCCTTTTTTTTGGCTTGGCATACCTCATTTTCCAACAGTCTCTGTGAAAGGCTTCAATAGCTCTTAGGTTACACACAATACACTTCTCTACTTGTCAAAAAAGCAATCAAATCTGATATATAAGGGAACTATACCATAAGAACTCATGCCAAATGTCACATTATAGACTTGCACATTTTTGGTATAAAAGCAAAAAATCCTAGTTTTGCATCACTTCTACAAGATTCACATCAAACTATTAATGGAAAAAAAAATAGGTTTCTGTCACAGTTTGGAAAAAGTATAGTGCAGTGGACTAAAATAATCAGTTTGGCTTCTTTATCAGCTGTTCCTTTCTGTTCAGATTAGGCCTCAGAACAATAATGTAGCATTTAGGGGCAAAGATGCAAACCAGTAATCCAGCTGCAGAAGCCAAAATGGAGAAGATCTCCACAGCCACCATGTATTTCCCCTTGGTACTCAAATAGGTGGGAACAAATGATATCCAGACACTACAAAACACCAACATGCTAAAAGTGATAAATTTGGCTTCATTGAAACTATCAGGCAGCTTCCTAGCCAAGAAAGCCACTGTAAAACTGATAACAGTCAAGAAACCCATAAAACCAAGGACAGTATAAAACATTATGGATGAACCTTCATTACATTCCAGAACAATTTCTTCAGATACAGAATATGTGTCTGAATCTGGGAATGGAGGAGAAATTGCCAGCCACACACTGCAAATGATGACTTGTGCCAGAGAGCAAGATAGGACAATAATGTAGGCCAGCCTTTTTCCCACCCATTTCCTCATTTTGGAGCCTGGCTTGGTGGCCACGAAAGCAAGAACAACAATGGTTGTTTTCCCCAATATACAAGAAAGTGCTACAGAGAAACTGATGCCGAAAGCAATTTGCTGCAAGAGACATTTCACCTGATCTGGTTGCCCAATGAAGAGCAAAGTGCAAAGGAAGGAGAGGAGGAGAGCAATGAGAAGAATGTAGGTGAGGTTCCGGTTGTTGGCTTTGACAATGGGAGTGTCCCGCTGTTTAATGAAGATCCCAAGTACTATGGCTGAGAAGAAAGAAAAAAAGACAGCAACACTGGTCAAGGTGATTCCCAAGATTTCTTCATATGACAAAAATGTGATCTGTTTTGGAATGCAAGTATTTTGAGCTTTATTTGGGTATTGACCTTCTGAACACCAGAAACAGTCATCTGCATCTGAAAAAGAAATAACTTCAGTCGTATTTAAAAAGTTTATAAATGTCAGACCCAGCCCAAGAATAACACAGAACAGCCAAACTTCAGGTTTTTTATTTGTTCACACCACAGAGACAGAACAAGCTTTCAAAATAAAGTCTGAACTCTTTTCATTTATACTTTGGTGTGTTATGAATAATGAAGTCTGGATGTTCACATACCTTTGTAGTCTTTCTGGTAAAGGAGCCTTAAAATGAGACCTAGTCAGTGCTTTTAGATTAATTTTGCTCATACACTATAAGGGTATAACTCTCAATGAAAATGAAAAAAAGGAGAAAGTTAGGATATTAACAATTAGGGGGCTGCAGACTAAAACATACAAAAAACAGTTACAGGAATTGGATAGGTTTAGTCTAGTGAAAAGAAGAGCTAGGGGTGATATGATAACAGGGTTTCAATATATAAGGGGCTGCCACAAAGAAGAGAGGGTCAACCTTTTCTCTAAAGCACCAGAAGGCTGAATAAGAAGCAATGGATGGAAACTTATCAAGGAGAGATCCAACCTAGAACTAAGGAGAAATTTACTGACAGTGAGAACAATTAAATCAGTGGACAAGCTTGTCTTCAGGAATTGTGGGTGCTGCATCACTGGAGTTTTTAAAGAAGACATTGGACAGCCATTTATCTGAAATAATATAAGGTCTCCTGCTTGAGCAGGGGGTTGGACTAGAAGTCCTCTAAGGTTCTTTCCAACTCTATTATTCTATGTTCTATGCTCTGTATGATTTAAAGCAACTACTTTTTCATGATTAAGAAATTAGACTATATTTTATTTTTTCAAAAATCCTTTGCAGTTTGCCAATACTTTATTTGATAATAAGAGTAGGAGGAAGATTTGTTAATACTAGATTTGATTATGTTTCTTTTCTTATTAGTTCTCTATGTAATAGAGTTGTGTCAGGGTTCCGACGGATGCCCTAATTAAATCATGAGCTTCGAGCCAAGCTTCAAAAGAAATCCAGTTATTTATTAGGAGCTCCGTGTCAGCACATACCCAAATGAAGCCAAATCTGATCTCATGTAATTTAAGGCCTGTTTCCTCCCTCCTTCCAGGGTGTGACATCAATCATATTTGCCAACGGAGCAATTTTGCAGATTGTAGAGATCACTCCCCTCTGGCTGCTGTAGGTAACCCTGGGAGACAGCCTTGAGAAAGATATGTCTGGAATGTGCTCCTGTCTTTGGCTGCCATGTTGCTTCATCGGTTTCCCATCCCCCTTTGCCTATGACAACTCGAGAGCAGGCCAGGGATACTTTGCATGTTGACAAGTTCTTACTTTCCCTTCCACATGTTCATCCCTTAATGGGAAATGTCTCATTTCACAAACTAGGACAACCTTAATAAGAAAAAACCCTGTGTGAGAGCTTATGAATATTCACTGCTGTATTCTGAGGAACCCATGATCAAATATGCTCCTGAGGAAAGGAGACTTGAGAAGATAATATTAGATAAAAAAAGAATTCTTGCACTCTGCCTACTCCAAACCTTTTTGTTTTCAAATAGTAGTCCCTGTCTATCCCAAATTATGAACAACTTGTTAAACTTGTAATTTGATTCCTGGAAAACGTATTAGGACATTCCTTATATGATATTTCTTACCTGCCTTATTTGAAATCTTCCCTTCTGGACACCGGAGGCAATCATAGCAGCAAAATGGTTTCCCTTCTATTTTGATCCTACAGTAGCCTGAAACACAATGATCATTGCATGCAGAAATGGGTTGCACCTGTTGGAATATTCAGAAACTATTTCTTAATATTCAGAAATGCCTACATTTCAGATACATGGCTTCCACAGTTTTTCTTATACATTTCAGTTTTTTTTTCAATTTGGATATGACATGAATATATTATTCACTTGGCAAATCCAAAGTTGTACAAATAAATTTTCTATTTCACATCTTTTGAAATAAATATTCATAATAATTTAACAAAGTTGGAAGGGACCTTGGAGGTCTTTTAGTCCAACCCACCGCTTATGCAGGAAACCTTATACTACTTCAGTTATCTAATATCTTCTTAAAAACGTCCAGTATTTGAGCATTTACAACTTCTGGAGGCAAGTTGTTCCACTGATTAATTGTTCTAACTGTCAGGAAATTTCTCCTTAGTTTTAAATTGCTTCTCTCCTTGATTAGTTTACACCCATTGCTTCTTGTTCTACCCTCATGTGCTTTGGAGAATAGTTTGACTCCCTCTTCTTTTTGGCAACACCTGAGATATTGGAACATTGCTATCATGTCTCCCCTAGTCCTTCTTTTCATCAAACTGGACATACCCAATTCCTGCAACCGTTCTTCATACATTTTAGCCTCCAGTCCCCTAATCTTTGTTGCTCTTCTCTGCACTCTTTCTAGAGTATCAACATCTCTTTTACATTGTGGCAACCAAAATTGGTTGCAGGATTCTAAGTGTTGCCTTACCAAGGCATTATAGAGTGGTATTAACACTTCACGTGCTCTTGATTCTATTCTTCTGTATATGCAGCCTAGAACTATGTTGGCTTTTTTGGCAGTTGCAGCACACTGCTGGTTAATATTTAAGCGATTGTTCACTAGGACACCAAGATCCCTCTCACAGTCACTACTATTGAGCAAGGTACCACATATACTGTACCTGTGCATTTGTTTTTCTTGCCTAAATTCATCTTAATCTAAGAATTCTATTGGAATTCTATTGGAATCAAAAACACTTTTATAGACTGTTATGACTTTCACTACATTTCACTAATATTTTACATTAATTATACATAATATTATGTTTTTCACAAGAGCAGCACAGTGGCCTAGTGGTGAATACACTTGTCTCCCACTCGTAAGATTGTGAGACCAATCCTAGGTAGCAGCAGATGTTTCTCACCTAGGAGGCAAAGAAAAAACATCTGCTGTGAACTCTGCATGGTGTCAGGAAGGACATTGGGCCAGCAAATACCCAACTCCAGTTGCCCTGACTGTACCCTGAATTAAGGGATTACAGGGTCATAAAAAGGGAGTAATATTTTAATTTTTACTACATTCCTTATTCCTCAAATACAAGAAGACAGATTGAGAATTTACCATGTGATGTGGACATGGGAACTTGCATTTATTTAATATTTATTAAGGATTTACAGATGTAGACCAAAATAGCAATAGCACTTAGAGTTATATACCGTTTCACAGTGCTTTACAGCCCTCTCTAAGCAGTTTACAGAGTCAGCATATTTCCCCCAACAATCTGGGTCTTCATTTTACTGACCTCGGAAGGATGGAAGGCTAAGTCAACTTTGAGCCGGTGAGACCAGAACTGCCAAACTGCTGGCAGCTAGTGATCAGCAGAAGTAGCTTGCAGTACTGCTGTCAGGCCTGGAAGCTATCTTTCTCATTGCATCTTCAGGCCTGCCACATTTACTACTGGGAGAAACTGGGAGGGGGGATTGTATGGAGCATTGGTAATATATAGTCATAATAACATTCCTTTCTCAGAAAGTCAAGAACAACTTGCCCTGCACCTGGAGGGTTGGAACTGGGAGGCATCTCCAGTCGGCACGGAATTTGGATTGGGTGACGTGATGGACATATGGGTATTGGGCAGGGTCTTGAACTTTCCTTTGGGTGGGGAAAACCTGGAAGCTTTCAGATTCGGGTTTTCCCAGGTGTGCCAATATGACATCTCTAATAAAATGTAACTTTGAGGAAACTCAAGCTTCAGAGTTTTCTTTCATTGAGGGTGTTACTTGGAACCCTGACAAGTGCATTCTAACCACTGCACCACCATGGCTCTTAAAATAAAATTAATAGCATGATATCTCAAAATGAAATTGCCTATTCGTAGCAAAAACTGCAAATGCCTGTATCACAGTGATGGGTTGCTATCGGTTCACCCCGGTTCAGGCAAACTGATAGTGGTGGGAGGCTCTGCCCACCCGCCCAGATGTCTCTGCACATGAGTGAACTGGTAGTGATGGGATTTGAAACCCACTACTGCTGTATCACCTTCGGTTCTGATGGTTCCTGTCTAGATTAGGACAGCACAAAATTTGAGTTCCTTATAAGGGACTCTGCCTTCTCATTTAATAGGCAGTGCATCATTCTCTGTGGTGACCAATCTGAATTTATTGAATTGTTTGTTTCTGAATATTTTTTAAAATTAGAAGAGAGATTAATGTTATCCTATAATGGAGATAGATAGGGCATTTCAAAATATCTATGCAATTGTCTTACTATTAGTATCAGAACATACCATAAGTCTCTTGAATAGGGGGATTTTATTGAATTTCTTGATCAATAGCATGGAACATACAGTTTCTAAGTATGCCCGTTTGACCGTCCTCCCCACTAATTTTCATGCAATGAAAACAAGAGCATTTTCAATACTTTTTTCAAGTTCTTTTACTCCTTGTTCATTTAGACAGTAGGATATATTCTATAACTTAGTGTATAGGACACATTCACAATGATTAGAAGAAAGTTGTCTGAAAATTGAAGTGTGATATGAATAAGGAGATAATCATTTCACATATTCTTAGGTAAGTGCAGAGCCTACCTTCTTAAACATGGTGGGCCAGATAATACTCTCTGCAGAAATGGAGAACAACTTGTTTGGGGGAGCAAATGGATCTACTGTCCCAACTTTCACTCGATGGAAGGATTGGTTGGGGAAGGTGACCCAGTTGATTACATCAAAACCAGTTGCTATTTTCCCATTTTGATCAAAGAAAATCTTTTCTCCAGCACTGTTGTTAAATGAAACAGTTCTCAGGTAATTATGAAGCTAAGGAAAAGTAAATGAGAAGTGACAAGAATATATAAAATTAATTTAATACAGGTTAATAATGGCGAAGGAAGGAAGGAAGGAAGGAAGGAAGGAAGGAAGGAAGGAAGGAAGGAAGGAAGGAAGGAAGGGGAGGGACATTATCACTGGAGAAAGAGTAATCCTCCCCATGGGAGGATTGGGCTATATATTTAAGGCTATATATTTAA